TGACGGGAGTGCAAAAAAGGCTATGGAAGCTCCAAGCAGGAGACGTGAAGAGGTCAGAATTCCTGCTCCTCTCTCTCTGCCATGCTCTGCTGCCTGGCCTTTAATGTCCAGCCATCTCTGCTGATTCCCTGACCCTCTTTGCTGGGCACTAGGAAAGGCACATGCACTGTCATTTATCTGCTCCAAAGCCACATGTGCAAGAGCAGGTACAGGATTGTACCAGCTGAAAAGTTAAGGGCAAGGTTCACTTATCTTATGATTTAATGTAGTAGGAGACAGTCATTTTTATAAGTTAAAAAGCAATAGATTGAGATACATTCATCACAGATTAGCTGAATTTCTTCCTTGAAGGGGCTCATTGAAATGTATGTGATGTTCATTGTTGTGTGAGATGCTGTTTAAAACTTTTAACAACAAGACAAAAGCTTGTGACTGGGAGGAAGAAATGCTGTCATTGCTGGATTTAATAAATCTTCAGCAGGGACAATAAGCCTGTGATAAAGCCAGACAAAGCCTATTGCTGGGAAGTCATTTGGGCAGGTGGGAAGGAAGGACGTTCTGTCATTGTGGTTTGGCACTTGGCACATCCCTGAGCTGCTGAAACCTTCCTGGAGCCCCAGGAGCAGCTTTGTCATTCCCTGAGGATAACCCTGGACTCACAGAACTGGTGGGTGGGCAGGACTGCTGGGGTCTGCCCTGGCAGCAGGAGGGGGATGCCCTCCCACAGTCTGGAGCAGCATCCTTTGGCCCTCCATCCCCACGGCACAGGAGCGAGGCCTGCGTGATTTGCACTGCCCCTCTCACCTCACTCCCCCACCCCAAATCCATATGTGACAGTCCCACAGCAGCCTGAAAGACATGATCCATACCTGGAAAAATTCCTGCTGGCTGTAAGTAAACATTTACCATTTAACTGTAAATAATGCTGGAGTAAAATCACCATCATTAATATTCACTATGTGATTTTGCTGTCTAAAACATCACTAAAGCCACTATAGTAATCCAGGTAAAAATGGGCATGGATCATTTTTGATGATTTATTTTGCAAAGGCAGACTTTTATATCAGCATCAGTTATATATATTTCAGTTATTCCCAGAGGGGAGGAGTTTGGGAGCAGGTTGGACCAAAGGCTTGGGATCTGAAGAGCTGGTTCTACTGTGATTTCACACAGTGGGAGCAGAACAAGCCCCACTGTGCTCCCACTATGCACTTGGCAGTTTTCTGGAATCCTGCAAGATTTAAAGGGATCAGTTCCTTCATCTCAAAGTGGCTTAAAGGGATTACTTGGTACCCGTGGAATAAAGCCAAGATCTACTCAAGATTTGATCAAAACTGAGAGATACAAAACAAAGGAATAAACAGAAGCTGATGAGAGACCACGGAAACCAATTTACACAGATCACCTGACACCTAAATTTGGGACTTTTTTCCCTCGGTCTTGATGACCAGAAGAGGATTAAAGGCATTGGCATGTGCTGCCCATCGTCCTTTCTGCTAAACATCCTGAGTGAGTTCCAGCAGGAGCTGGAAGGGAAAGCTGATCCTGTTCCCTGCAGGTCCACTTTCTGCACAGGGTTTATTTTTGGGTTTGTACCTTTTATGAAGCCAAGTGTACCACAGGCATTGAAAAACTGGAGGAAAAATTAAAGTTGAGATCGTTCTTAAGGGAAAAAAAGGAGGACTACTCTTCTTGGGTGGTATGAAATAAAAGTAGGTGCTGAAAATAAAAGATTTACTGACCATGCTATGGAGTAAAATAAGTCCCAGGGGAGCTGTGATGTATTGCACTGCAGACCCCTCAAGGATGGCAAATATTCACCAGGCACAGCAAAAGAGGGTCCAAGAATCACTGGCTGTGCTCTCCCACTCCTCTCCGCAGGCATCGCCAGTGAGATGCCAGAGCCAGCCGTGGTGCCCCTGGAAGCTGAGCCCACACTCCTCCCTCTCCCAGGAGACTGGAATAACACCTGCAGATGCAGCAACACTCTCACTTGCCCCCCTAACCCTCCTTCTTCTTTCCCTCAGTACATAGCAAATAAAGCCGTGGTGATTGGCAAGCTCACAATGGAACAGGGAATTGAGGTTGACAGCCCCAGATGTGGGAGGTGGAAGTTCAATTCCATTTCCTCCCAAGTGTGGGCTGAAGGTGAATAATGAACAGAAACAAGCCCGGAGGGGAGAGCCCAGATCTCCTGGGACTCCAGGTTTGTAACGTCGTGTTCAAGCACCCTCAACCTGTTCCAAACCGGCCTTTTGGACATGGGTTTGGGAAAGGCTGGGGACACTGAGGGCTGTGCTGTAATTCAGACTCCACAGCAGCACAGGCAAAGCGTCACCAAGCTGGATGGAAGCAGCATCTCACCCCTCAGCTCTTATTAATCTATTATAAATAATATTAATTATGCCTGTAGCACAAAAAGCAATTATCAAAATATTTTGCTAAACATTTTATAGAAAAGGCTATTTACCAAAAAACACTCAGCTGTATCAAAGCCTTGACAAAATGCTCTCTTAGAAATTAATAAATATGTTTGATTAGCACTTTCATGGATGCACAGATTCTGTATATGGGAGCATTATAGTGCATTTCATTATATATAAAGGCAATTAATGTCACAAATGAAGACTAAGATCTGACTCAGGCTAAATAATTGTCATTATCTATCATATAACATGCCTAGAAAGCTTAACTCCGCAATGATTTTTATGAACAATAAACTTGGCATTTACATACCAAACCAATTTGGTGTAATTCAGACTCAATAATAAATGGTAACAAAAAAAAAATCACTCCCATTCTTCAGGAATTTCTCCCAGCACAATCACAGGGGCATTTTTCACAGTGTGTTCCTCACGATGAGAAGGGCAGGAGTTTGTTCTCTGCAGTGTGTGCTGTGAGCCCAGCAGAGCCCCAGGGGTGTGTGGGGTGTGTGAGGGGCTGCTGGGGCTCCTCATGTCACAGCACCCTGCAGGTGATTCCATGGCTTGGCTGATGAATCTCTTCCAGCTGAAGGATGGCTTTCCATCCTTCCACGGGTGCAGAGCCCGTGGCCACCTCCTACTCCACGTCCACTTCAATCATCCTCTCTCTGCTCTCAGGGCTCTGTGCTGCAGCTTTGCCTTTACCTCATTTTGCAGTGCCTACAAACACAAGCTCACGGGGTTTTTGGGAAAATACCACCATCTTTCCTTGTCCAAACGTGAAACATTCCATCACTGACAGCTGCCATTTACTGGACATAAAACTTGCAGTCTTAAAGCAAGGCCCAGCTACCTTTGCATCTGCTCAGGTCACTGGTATAATACCACTCTGACAGGACGAAACCAGTACCCTGACACCAGTGCAGAGACCAAACCAGTAGTGTAATATGTATGTACTCACTGGGTAATGACATGAGGATGTTATGAAAACAACAATAATGCTGCACTGATGCCAAGTACAGTCAATTGTAAGATAAAAGACTCTAAATGGAGTTAAAGGCTCATTTAGTTGTGTTTGAAAAAGAGCTGTGTGGGTGTAAGAGTGTGGTCTGGTGCAGCTTGTGGAATAAAAAAAGGAAATACTGATCAACAGTCCACAGTGCAACATCTTCACCTTGTGTCAGCTCTTAAACCACAGCCTTGCTGGTCTCAGGGACTCACTGCAGAGTTTAATGCATAGATATAGGGGGTGGAGGTAATTTAAAAATTACTAATGCATTAATATCATTAAATATAAAACCCTGTAATTTTTTAATACAAGACACATGATTGTGCTGTAAATTCTGTTTATAGATGTTGTAGCAGGATGCCCTGCCTGAAATGGGGTCTGCAGTCAGAGGGATAAAACATCAGTGGCCAGCCTTTAAAAAAATGCAGCTCATGAACCAGAACATACACCCCCTATAAAAATAAAATAAACAGGAAAATAAAAGGCTCATTTTTTTTTTCTCTGTTGGATCTAATGCACCATGAGCTGGGAGAAGAAATTCAAACCCCAACCCCACATCATTCTCTTTGCACCATTTCCTCTTTGCACCTCAGTCTCCCCTTCACCAAAAAAAAGTGAAAAACAGACCAGCAAACTATTTTTTTGCTCAGTCTGAAAAAAACATGAGAGCCTTTGAGCAAAAAACATTGTTTGATGATGGTAAGGCACTTACCTAGCCCAGCGCTGGCTCTGTCCTTGTGGTTAGAAAGGAAAACTGCAGAGCCTCTGCCTTCATTATTTGCTGGTAATTAGTTTGTTGCTAACAAAGCCTTGACTTGGGCGGAATTTCATCTCTTGTCAGCTGTAATTCATTATTAGATCCATGAATATTAAAACCCCACCAAGGCCTTGCACCAACCCCTGCAGCGCCCGGAGTCAGTCGGGGCTGACGTGGAGATCTTCATCACCGTGCACCGGCCCTGTGGCACAGCTGTCAGATCTTCTTCTGATGCTGATTAACTTCATCAGGATAATTGATCAAGTTGTCTGGAGAAAATGGGAGGCTAAATACCTTCCCAAGGGTCCGTCACACGGCCCCTCAGCCGCAGGTCCTGTGCCCAAGGAGATGTGCAGGTGCTGTGCTGCAGTGGGAAGAGGTTTCCTCTCACCTCCTGCCTCAACTTTTCCCTTTCCCTCCCCCAGCTCACCCACCCCTTGCCTGGCAGATTGGCTCTGATTATTTCTCACCTAATTGTGTTCTGGTGTGCTACTGAACAGCATCCTTCAAAGGCATCACAAATCTCAAGGGCTGACGACAGCTTTGGAGGCATCAGACACCGACTGAGAGGTTGTCTCTGTGGGACTTGGATTTTGGGGTTCTTAAACATCCTGAAAAGTGCCTTTTAAACACTCTTTCCTCCTGCAATCAGCTGCCAGCTCCCCCAGGACCTTTTCCAGAGTTGCTTTCTGTGCACCTCTGTGTCAGGTGTTTGGATGTTCATCTGACAACGTCATGAAATAAAGGTTAGTCACAAGGGGGGAAGGGGGAGGGAACAACTGAAAAAATATATTTATTGGAGTAAATAAAAAAAAGTTAACCAAAATCCTTTATTGATACATTCTTGGATAATATCACAGGATCGAGAGAATGGAAAGGGAGGGAGGAGGTTGCGGCAAAGATTGGATTCACTAAATTGGCACATAAGCAGCAAGATTAACGAAATTACTTATTACAAACAGTATAAAACATACATGCTTCTGTAAGTCCTTATCACACTGGTCAGTCATGGTGGGGCATCAACAGAGAAAAACCTCAAGACATGTAAAAGCCATATTCTTTCCTCCAAATATCATAAGAATCATTGAAATTATTGCAAAATAGTCATATACCTTAAAGAAAAGAACAAAATAGAACACAAATACAAATATCAAACATAAATTATTAACATGTACCATAAAATACATTACTGGCATGCATTCCAAAGATCAAGACCTCTACCAAAACTCAGCAAAAATCCTTCTGCTTCCTCTGCAGCCCGTCGGAGGTGTGAAGGGGGGACTAACTTCGCCAGCACAGTTTTTGGTCTTTAAATTCTTTTTTTGTTTGTTTGTTTAGTTAAAAAAAATAAGGAATATGGATTGCAGTGATACGAGAGTAGTCATACAAGTCATGTACACGGGTCTGAGCTCCTCGGTTGCCGGTTGGTTTGAGAAGTGCCGAGAGCACAGGGCCTCGATGGAACTGTGCATCCAAAAAACAAACAGTGACCTCGGAACAACATGGATGGCGATATGCAAAAATCCTCACAAACTGTACAGAGAGTTCAAAAACTTGCAGTCTGGAAGTACATAGAAAGACAGAATTAGCCCCTTAGAGTCCTTTGCAGCCGGCGCGGGGGGCCGGTCCCCCCACGGCCTTGGCGGCTCCCGCGGCCGGAGCAGGCCCGAGTAGGCCCGGGGCCATGGCCAGAGCAGGCCCGGGGCCAGGGCCGGTGGCCACGGCGGTGCCAGCAGGGGCCGGAGCGGTGCAGGAGTTTCGGGGAGCGGCCGTCGGAGCGCGGGGCTCCCCTCGCGCCGTCCCGGGCACCGCCGGGCCCCGACGCCCCATGCGGGGAGGCTGCGCCAGCGGGCAGGGAATCCTCGCCCCGGAGAGCGGCCTAGATCACCAGGTTGTTATAACTGACGTACTTCTTTTTTGCAGCAGGGCCTGCAAGAGAAGCGGAGAAGGGTCAGGACCTGCGGGCTGAGCCCCTCGGAGAAGCTGGCGCTGCTCCCGCATCCCTGAACCACCCTCGGAGCAGCCCGAGCCCCGTCTGCAGCTCCAGCCCTTCCCATGAACACCATCACCACCGACGGGCTTTGTTAGGCTCCTGCAGCCTGGGTGACTTCACTGCCCAGGCACCGCAACTAGATCCTTTTAAGATTTCTTGTTTCTAAAAACAGTGACATTTTCTACGACTTCTTAAATCTCCTGGGCTAAACGTGGCTTTTCTCATGGATAAAGCAATTCTGAATCAAGTTTTATGACTTCTGAGAATTTTTCAATATAGGGATGAAGGTACCAGCTTCCCTAATTATGACCTTCAAATCCAATCTGTTTGCAAACAGAAGGAAATCAAAGCAGTCAGGAGAAGGAAGAACTTTGTGAGCGCTGCTACACACTCCTGTCAGGAAAATCTGCAACTATTTGCAGCTGAACACAAAGCAAAATGTTCTGCAGTAGTTTGGCAGCACTGACGGATTCAGGATGCAGAATCACAGAATATCCTGAGCTCGAGGGACCCACAAGGGTCATCAGTCCAACTCCTGGCCCTGCCCAGGACACCCCAACAATCCCACCCTGTCCTTCAGAGCATTGCCCAAACCCTCCTGGAGCTCTGGCAGCCTTGGGGCTGTGCCCACTGCCCTGGGGAGCCTGGGCAGTGCCAGCCACCCTCTGGGGAAAATCCTTTTCCTGAGATCCAACCTGACCCTCCATAGAGATAAAAAAAAGAGCCTGTATTTACAGTTACCACAGTTTGCTAAAACACTTAAGCTTAAATCCCACTGTCTTTGAGAGAATTTGGCATAACTTAACCATTTGCTGAACATTTTCAGGCTGCTAAACTGGGACAGACTCCACTCTCCTTTGGGATATTTTTTTTAGAACAGTGTGTGTTTCACTGTAAATCTTTCTCAGGAAGATTTAAGAGAAGCCACGGAAGGAGAAGCGAGAACAACAACTGAGTTTGCTCTGCAAAGCTGCTTTTCAAAGTTGCTTGGTTTAGGGCATCCCAGGGCTCCTCTCAGCCCCTCTGCTAAACCAGATATTTTCCATGGTGTTCACTATCTTTTAGTGACACAGAAATGATTTTAGTCCCAAGGCTGGCATGTAAGAATCTGCCACGTAACTCCAGCTCTTTGCAGTATTATCCTGAAGCCCCAACTCAGCTGTTTTCTCATGCCCCAGACGAGTCAGAGCTGTCTGTTCAATCAAGGACTGAGTCTACAAAGTGCTGATCATCTTCAGTTCCCATTAACTTCTCTTGGACACGAAGGTGTCCCACATCTGCCAGGATGAAACTCATTATCCTCCAAGGCTACACTGCAAATATCCAATAAACTGTGGAATGCTATTAAATGCTGAAAAGGGGTAAAATGAGCCTAGGAAAAAAAAAGAAGTCATCATGGAACAGGTTGCAAAGTAATTCCATGTATTATTTTGTGATATACTTCAGCTTTATCCATTACATGCTCCAATTTCAAACAGCAGCAGTTCCTGTGACAGAGATTTGGATGCTCTCCACTGCTGGTTCATATCATGTCACCCCTTCACTGCTTCCCAGGGTGTTACTCGGCCTTTCACAAACCTGATCTTTGTGCTGATGAGTTTTCTCACCAATTCAGCCTCAGTAGCTCAGCTCTCATTTCCAATAGGACAGTGAACCACCGGTACCAAAGGGATTGAGCCAAGAAATGCTGTGGATAATGTGCACCTGTAGGCTCTGTGGAGAGATGGGCTCTGAACTCAGACAGTGACTGGCACGGCTCTGCTTCACCAGAACGATGTAGCTGACCTGAGCCTCATCCATAATTTAGGTAAAACGATCAATAAAAGCTCCATGGTTATTTTAGGAGAGGAAAGACAATCTTGCTTGGCCTTAAAGGCTGTTAGGCCAGAGCAGATCATGTCTCCTGATAGCTGTTTGTGCATTTCACTGCGCTGCTCCTGCACTAACTCCAGGAACCTGGAGCTCAGCCCATGTGCAATTCCAGACACACTCCAGTCTTGAAGACTTCAGGAGAGAGAAACAGTCTACTTTGATAACAAATCTCTACTGAGTCGCAGCTCATCATTATCATTGGCAATTAGCACCAGGTATGGATTTGATTTTCCTCAAAGAAATTAATTTGCATGAAAATGGGGGACGCTAATGAAACATCAGCGTTACCAGGATTCACCGTGTTTTGATCCAGGAGACACGAGCATTCCCTGTTCTTCAAAGGGGAGCAGATACACATCTCCCACGCTCTGTTGCTGTTCCTGTTAATGGCTGACAGCTTCCCAACAGTGAACGCACATTGTCCTCTTGCAAACAACATATACATGCTAATTAATATACATATAATTATGTCAGCCTTGGCTGGCCATTGACTTGGACACGTTGGCAGAGAGCCAAGAGCTGCACATGCAGAATCTGCAGTGCTGGACCATTCCCTCTGTCCTGAGAGACACAGCCCAGCTGCATCCAGCCCCCTTTCCTGAGCTCAGAGCAAAGGAGCACACGAAGGAGCCGTGGGATGAACAGCTAATTTTGAGTACAAAATACCCTGTGGGAAGGAAACGTCCTGGACCCTGCCTGTTTGCAAATACACGCGCTCGAGGCATTTGCACCATGTAAATTGTTTGGAAAAAAACCAGGGACCTTTCTAAAGAGCCCTAAAGAGCCCCAGCTCCCTCAGCTGCTCCTCATGGGATTTATCACCACACACCCCCATCAGGCAGAGCACAGCACAGGATGCTCCAGCTCCCATTATGGTTTTGTCTTTACTTGGTTTGGAAAAAAAAATTCTCTTGTCCTGACAGAGGCATAAAGAGGCCCTTGATCACCAAAACCCCAGACACCTCACAGCATGGCTTTACTTTAGGAGGTGACTGTGTTCAGGAGACTGAAACCCACGTGAGCTCTGGGTTGTCCTCTCAGTTACTGCTGTGCCTTTCCCCACTCTCTCTAAGTGGATCCCACCCTCCTGCCTTGCAGCCATCCGTGTGAAGACACCTACAGCTTGCAGCAACACCACCCCAATGAAAACAACCTGCACAGCTGCACACAGAAACCAAACAACGCTTCCTTAAACCACAATCATTAATGTAACCCCCTTTTCTTTACAGCAGTGGGGGGCACTGAGAGCCTACAAACACCCCCCTTCCAGAAGGGAGTAACAGGACTGGAAATAGCTGCATCTGTGCCAACAACATATTAAAAACAAATACTCAGGAGCAAAAAGCCTCTTTGGATATATGTTTCATCACTTGACTGGTTTTCATTATCTTGAGCACAGGCCACAAAGAAAGGAGCTCCCACAGCATCCCAGAGCAAGGCAGAGCTGTCAATACTGACTCAGAGTGAGATTTAATCACTTGCACTTCAATTTTATGCACATTTGTAACCTCTTCCATGCTTAAAGAGAAAAGATTTACAGTGCAAGAAATGAATTTTATTGCAGCCCCCAGGCATCTCAGGCTATCAAACGTATGAAACATCATCTCAGCATTCCCAGCTCGGAGCAGGAAGGGACATCATGATGGCTCCAAGCCTGGAACTCCTGCTCTGATTCCCTCTGCAGTCACTCTGGCAGATAATTCTTACCTTCTCTCTTTCTTAACTCTGGCTTAGAAACCCGTATCATTTGTGGCAGGCAGAGCGGAGGCTGATTATTAAATCCTACTTCTAGTCCATCTCAAAGCGAAATGGGTGAACATGGCTCCTCCTCCATCTCTGCCAGAAAGACAGAGCTGTCCCCATGCTCTGCTGCCTTTAAATTGGGGAATTTAGATGAGAAAGAGATGAAAGCAACAGGCCTAAATGATTCTACATGCTTGCCCAAACCCCGACAAATGGAATGAAGCTTGGAGAAAATAATTTTAAATTTGGTATCTAAATGTAAATGGATTGTTCTATCACATTTTGACATCTCTCTGTTGTGCTGCCATGGTGTACTGGCACCTTATCTGGTCTCTAAGTGTCTGCAGTTGTACAAACCCATTTCCCCCCTGTGTGGTGGGTCCTTGCAGCCTGAACCAGGTGGCTTTTATGCAGATGAGCACAGGGAACCTCATGTTTTAATAATGCCATGTGAATATATTAAATTACAAATGTAATATTAGTAAAAGTGTGTTCCTCCCTAATTGCTTCACAGCCTCCTCTTCTCCTAAACGACATCATCCCCAGCTGTCAGATTTGTCACTCTCGGTAGAGCAGTGGCAATCAGCACCTGGGTGCTGGGGACAGCCAGGAACAGTGGTGACATTCCAGGCATGGGGAGGTTCATCAGCAGGTCACAAACAGCAACAGGGCAGGAGGAAGTACTCAAGGGACTCCTTCTGTTTGCTGATCATTAATTTATCCAGTACAACTGGTGTGATGGCAGCCTGGTGATGAGCTGGACAGTCTATTGCTCTACTGTTTGATGTGTCTGATGGACATGGCCCTCTGGATTCTCCAGTGGGATAACTGGATGGATTGTCCTTGGGAATCACTGGAAATCCCAAAGCTGGCCAAAACCATCACAACCCAGGTGGGGCCACACAGGCACGTTTTACCTGGTGCAGGTCCAAAATACGGGGCTTATGGTTAGAAATCCAACGAGCTGCCACTAAAATGCCAAATGCTGCAGGAGATAAAGCCAAAGCAGCCTCCCCAGCGTGTGCACAGATGCTGATGGGGGAGACAAGGCCAGGTTTTCTGTTGACTGCACTCAGCTAACATAGGCAGGGTGGTTGGGGCCAGATGTCCAGCCTGGCTGTCCACTCCCAGCCCTGAATGCCACTCAGGTGTCCCAGGCTGAAGAGCACTGATAAGATCTGTAAGCTGCTGCCCCAGATGAGGTGACACCAGTGGCCAGAGGTCAGCAGTGAGTGATTAATGCCAAGAGAGCAGCAGGAGAGGAGAGCCAAAGCAACCTGCTTGATACAGCCTCGGCAGCCTGGATCCACCTGGCTCACCT